CCGAATTATCCTTAATTTATGGACATGAGTGTAATTTACGCACTATGTGAGTAAATGTTCATGCTATAAAAGAATTATTTTCCATTTCTTTCAATATATATATAGAGATTTTCTGTTCGCACATTTTTTAGACGACTTTGCTTGGCTATAAAAAACAAATCGCTGCTTGAGAAAAAAAAAAGAAAAGAAATAACTGCAACTATATTTTTTAAAGTGTAAATTATCGTCTGCTATTTGACAATTTTGTTTGCATGCAAAATGGCGGTTTTAAAATAGTCAGTGGTAATGTATATATTTTCGTTTTCTTCTTATTTAGCCAAGAGTTTACTTCATTTTCTTTACTTATAGTTTTACTTATCAATTACCACACGATAAGACTTTGTTTCTGTCTGCCAAAGCGGTAGGCTTGTATTAAATAGTGTTTTACGCTTGTGAAACATTTCATTGTACTGCAATTGTGTTTTTCTCATTTTTACTTTCCCCATTATTGCTTGACAGAAGAATAATTTTTAATGAAATTTTAAAAAATGCCTTACAATACATCCTGCAAGAGATGGCGCCCAACGAGCGCCTCATTTATTCAAAGTTTACTTCTTCTGGCGGACGCAGCAAGCACAGGAGGCCTCTCCGCTCAGTATCTCGAAGTTTCTAGCACAGCATGTGCACAAGTACGTTCCATATTATTGGATACAACTTACTCGAATTCTTTGCAAGCATTTAAAAGTCGTATAATATCTTGGGTGCCCGTTAAGGTCGATTGGGCCTTACCAAGTTATAAGACATAGACACAGAGGTTTTAAAGAAGAAATTGACGGAAGGCTGCTTGTTTACCAAACCATCATCCTCAGCTGCAAAAGCGCAAATGAATGAGATAAGATATAGTGATCAGATAAGAAAGACTGGACATCAGTTCTTCCATCAATAAAATTCCGAGTTCCATACTCAAGGTTCATCTGAATTATCTTAATTGACATTTTCTTTTAATATTTTGCAGTGTTTATAGTCTTATGATGTAAATGTAAAACAATTTAAGTAAGTTCACATTTGGGTAAGAAAAGACTGTTTAGTAAAGTTCAGTGGATAAAAAATATGAGTTGACAAATTTTACTGTTGTTATAGTGCACTATTCAAGTTTAAAAAAAAAAAAAAAAGCTCAGATCTTCTTTTTCATCTTAGGTAAATGATACCGATCTTTAACAAATACAGAGGTAAAGTATCGGATGTGGCCAGCACAACTTCCCGCCATTTCCTTCTTAAAACATGGAACTGGCAGAATAGCAGTGAACTTTAAGTAAAGTACCACTTCCAGTTGGTTATGTGGCCCACCAGCGGGCAAGAAGTAAAGTCGCTGAACACTGGTAGTTCAATCTAGGGTTCAGAATCCCGTCGAACGGGCTGGGTGCATGAACGTTTTGTAATATTCATGTGTAGGGTGTATACGAACTAGTTTCTCTTAGAAAGTCCTCCACAGAGGCATCCCTTACCTTAGGGCAGAGGATTGATCATTTGTACTTTAAATCTTATTTATTTATAAACTTCTATGGCTCAGTGTAAATTATAAACACTACTCATATTTTAGTATTCTTTATGTGCTCGTGTACCCATCCATTCTCATGTTTTGATTGACTGTAATATACATTGTGGTCACACATAGTGTTTTGGATCACAAATTAATGAATGACTTAACAATCACAAAATTTTTAAAGGCAGCATAGCTTTAGAGTTCCAGATAGAGTGTTAAGTGAGCCATAAATTTCTTTTTTGGTCTTTTTTTCAGTTTATAATATCAGTGTTCAGTTATCACAATAAAATTATAAACTTTTTGTTGCTTTAGTTTTATTTATTGATCATCACTTTCTTTGCATTTATACCACATAAAATTCAATAACTAAATCTTCAAGTAGCCTACCTTTAGAACTTCCAATAACGTTAACTGCTACCATACATTTTTCTTTATACATTCACTAATTATACTAATATTACTAAAAATTAATTACTTCTTGAAAAATAATACCCATAGCGATAATATGTAGTAATAGCATCCTTTTCTTTCATTTCACCCATCTGATGGCAGTATTATTTGAAAAGTGACTTCATACAAAAGTGAAACAAATGCAAAATTGAGGATTAAGGCTAATGCATTTAATTGTCTCATAATGAGAGCTTGTCTTCATGATAAGTTTATTCTCATTATATTCAGCATAATTCCAAGAATGAATTAAATATTTATAAAGATAATATATTGTTATTAATCACATAACTATTTTAAATACCTAATTTTCAAAGTTTTCGATTAATTTTTTGTTTAAAGTTCTGTCAAGTCTCAAGTAAGTTCGCTTCTTCTGGTTTAATTTAATTGGATCCTACTAGTACTTATTCATTGAAAAATCACTATGGAACTTTTAGACCTAAAACATCACCTCCCTTACCTATATATATATATATAGAGACTGGCATGAGGTATAAAAACAGTGAGTGCTTTTTTTTCCCCCAGAGCCATCAAATTGATGCATGTTTCTTGGGCTCAGATCTTGCTAGTATAAACAGGTCTTTATGGGCTTTACTTGAAGTACTACATACTACTTTTAGCTGCCCAACTTTACACAAAATCTAATTAATTCTTTATATGAATGCACAGAGCTCAATTACAGAAAATAGAACTTTTTGGAAATTTGATATATTGTGGATAAAAAATCGTTACACACACAGACACATCACTGTAAAAATACTAAAAAAGTGTTGTGGGGACTTAAATTCATGCTTAGAACAGAAAACATTACCCCACTTACATATATATAAGGTTAGAAGGTGGCAAAAATTAACGGCTAAACATGCTTTACTAATCAAAATATGTCTTTTGTAGAATTGGGTTCTGAAAATTATATATGTAATCAATAGAAATATAAACAATTAAGCAAAGAATATGACAAATTTTCTCAAAACTTGCCACAGATTAACAATTTGTAAATCCATTGTATAAACTTCCCTATGTATCACTGAAAACATTCCAATATTTGGAGAAAAAAGTTTAAAAAAAATTACTTTGTAAGATTATTGCTTTTCCAACAATGACTTCAGTCATGTAAAAATCTGTTAAACTTTATTAACAGACAAATATTAATGAATGAAACAGTAAGATAAATTCATGACAAATGCAAGTATTTTCAAATATACAGCTTTATTACATAATAAAATTTAATTAAAAACTAATTTTCAAATACGAAGTTAAAAGTAACAACAAACATTAAACAAAATTCTAATTGCTTTAATAATATAATTTGGCAGCATTAGTATGCAACATCATATTTCCACATAACAAAGAAACAAAACAAAAAAAAAAAAAAAACTTCTCTTTTGTATATTTCATTATGAAATAGAATAAAAACTACCAACCTGTCATTAAAAATACATCTTTAGAAAAAAAATAACTATAAATAGCTGCAAAATTTTTAATAATCATGTCACAATCCATTTATATTGATACAAAAAATTAGAATATAAGCTAAAATACCATACACAAATAAATTAATTTGTACATGATTCTAAAGACTAGTTTAAAGATAAGGTATTTTTTTTAATTAAAGACAAAGGAATTTGATTCCATACACAAATGCCACAGAAACCCACAAAAATTTTACAACAATAGAATAAAAATATCAAAAATAAAATTTTAGATAGTAGAAATCTTAAATATTTCATCTCTCATGCATAATAAATTAACAAAACACAACATAACTCTAAATGAAATTATACATCATTTAAGGCATTGCATGGTGCATCAACATTATATTATCTATGTACTATACTAACAGCATATGTAATATACATTTCCTAAGCAAAAACATAATCAATAACAGGTGTTTATTTTATATTAGGGAAAGTAAACAGTATGTACTGAATAGTGTCTCTCAAACTCTTTTTTTTTCAGCAAATCCCGAGCACCTACTCTTTAACATAAAAAGTTGTGGCATTCTGTGAACACACAGATTATTCCAAATGTTAAAAAATATATACAAAATGAAACACAGCTAATTCAACACCTTAAAGAAATAAATAATTATGTCATATATAAAACATGAATTTGATTTATGGGATGTATGGGAAAATGCACAAAGCCATACTGATACACAACTATATCAAACACTCACATCAACACAACTATATCAAACACATCAGTTTCCTTAAAATGCAGCCATATATATGATGTAAGATTTCAGATACATCGCATGAAGAATTCATTATAAATGTTTGCACAGGAAACACCTTTGGGTGCATACTTTCACTCTAACATAATTATAATCAACTTCTGGATTTAGCAGAGGTAATTAGTTACAATGAACAGCATCCACAGTTAACTCAAAAGCATGATTAATACCAAAGCCAGTTGAAAAAACACAGGACAGAGGAATAACCTTTGTTATAACTAATGGAAAATATCAATATTTTACCAGTATTTTTAAGCAGTTTAATGTGGAACATAAGTTCACTGGTTTTATAAATTAAATCAGTATTTAAAACAAAAAGCAATTTACTTTTATTAAAAGTTTTAACAATGGTTATATATTTTGGATATATACATATAAGGACCTGCTGTTTTCAAATAGTAAAAAGAACAAGTAACAATTGATTAGATTATAATACTAATTAAATCACAAATTTTAGAGATTATTATTCAATGTACTGTTTTCATTCAAATGGTAATGCAAGCTTTTATCAAAAGGCACTATACCAAACACTGTATATACCAGTGCAGTTTCTTATCATGTAAAAGGAATACCACTAACTTCGCCAAGTGAAAACATGAATATAAAAATTTATTTTTTTTATCTAAAAATATAGCAGGCACTGCTTTTATTATAAATACATTAGGAAGACAAATTCCATATTTTAGACATACATCATCATATGAAACATTAATCTTAAACACGGCAAAGATGCATTTTCTTGAACTCTAGATATCAAAAGATACAAGCTAATCCTCTGCCCTATTCACACTCGTAACATATTTATTTCATTTGTAGTATATATATTTGCATTATGTCACTAATTATTCAGTTAATTTAGAAGATTCCTATATTTGAAATTTTCTCTTTTTTAACTTTACAAATGAGGAAGGGTAGATGGAAAAACAAAGAACATTGCATAGATATATACAAGAAAATAGTTGCACTTGTTGAAGTACATTACAGGCAGACTGAAATTCTATGATTTAATCTTAAATGTACAGCCTCCTATTACTGTTAGCTTCTATTTTGCTTATACTTTCAAAGTGTGTTAAAACACACTATTCAAAAGACTCAAGGCATTTTAAACAGCAAATAAGGTGCTTCACCACAAAGGAATATTTCTTAGTCTTTCAAAATATATCTAGATGTTTCATCTGAAATCACCTCAAATAATATAAGTTTTGCTAATCATAAATGTATTAATGGATCAAAAGTTGATAGGATATCATTTGATAAAATAAACAAAGCAACTTGTGGCCATTCAGTATCTTAAAAATTGAATTAAAAAATCAAAGGGGGGGAAAACCTTTTAGTTGGAAAATCTTTAAACATATCTCAAAACATGTTGTACTCGGATACTAATCATTGATTTTGAAGCATTGGCCTGCAGCATCTAAGGGAAAAAAGACACATGCATACATATTAACATTTTCTTGTGTGAAGTTTTAGATCAAGGATTGTCAACCTGGTCGCTACCTCCCACTAGTGGGTGATTTAAACTTTCATGGTGGGTGGAGAAGGTTTTTGTCTGATAATGATCAAGGAGGAGTGAAACATGCATGAATGTGTTGTTCACACCCCTTAATGTTTATTTCTGTACTTGACCATTCTCCTTCGTGCAGTTCTTTCCTATTTTCATGTATTTATATGGCTTTGCTATTTGTAAATGAAATTAAATTATATGTAAATTATATGGCTTTGCTGTTTGTAATTTCAGCCTATTAAAAGTTTAATATTGTAAATATAGTATAAATCAATGCATAAATTTAACTATATATTTTTTACTAAGTCTCCACTTAAAAACTTCTTTGCAGTTGCACTATATTACGTTACTGTGAATGGGTGGGCAGTATATAAATTTTTCTGCCTATGAAGTATGCAGAATTTATGCTTCAGTTATAACTTTTTCAGTCTTATATGCTGACAGATTTTACAATAGCTGGGCATATTCAAGTGCACAGTGAAATCCGAATCAGCCTTGATTTGATAAACAGTCAACATTTGTAAACTCTTCCATCTATTCCAGCTACTTTTTTATATGCTGGCAATTTACGACACCTTTCAAGATGGCACTACACATGATTTTGGAACTAATACATATGGTTTTTAGGAATTTAAACATGATGATGTGATTCAAAAATTTTTATTCACTCTATTATCTTATGTGGTATGAAAAGTTTCAAAGAGTTTTTGTAATATGCAAGGGCAGCACCATTGGGCAGTTTTAACAGCAGTTTCTGTGTAGTTTGGTGGGCAATTTCATTATTGAAAATTGTGCTGTACAAAATATTAAACTCTTTAATTAACTAAAATATGGTGGTAGGTATAAAAAGGTTGACTATCCCTGTTTTAAATAATTGGTAATTTTTAATATTACACAATTTTGATACATTATTTGAAATAAAAACAAACAAAATATAAAAAAATGACAATTCTCATAAAGTAGTTAAAATGAAAAAACAAACAATATATAGAAAAATGAAAGACAGCACTTAAAAAGGTTTAACAGTTATGGCAAAATGTCCAGTTCTACGTTTATTTCATAAAGATGAGAAATAAAAAGAAATATTTTACTAACTAAATAATAAAATGCAAAGATATTCTTACAATTTCTGATATTGCCACTTTGATATGCAATATTTAACAAAGCCCCATTTATCATAGCTCTTGTTCATATACAATATGTTAATTTAGCACCTTATTTATTTATTTATTTTTACATTCTTAGCCTCTTTAATTGAGAATTTCTTTTTTATGGTATCTTTCAGGTTTACAAGACAGAATTGTAAAAGAAAACCATATTTCCACTAACATTTTAATTCGAAAAGAAATTTGTCAGATTACTACTTAATAACAGATAACACTTTAACAACATAACTTGCTGTCATGATACAGGTAAATAATGGACATAGTAAGCATCTAATCTTAGAGCAAACTTTTTTACTTGCATATTAAGAATAATATATACTATTTATAAGTAAGATGGCTTAGCTATATATTTTAAAGATTAATATTAGAATAACATCTATCATAACAATAATGACAGAATTTAAAAGTGATTTCATTATTAATTTCCACACACAATAAGCGAAAATTTCTCCGATTGTTGCAATTTTTATAAATAATTCTTCTTGAATAATATCTGAGAGGAAGAATATCTCAGAAATGTTTTTATTTCATAGTTCAAAAAATGCTTAAAACATCAATTTTCTTTAGAAATTCATTTCTGCCATTTATATTTTATATTAAATATCAACAAATAAACAACACATTAAGCAGAGTAACCGAGGCTGTGCAGTAGAATTCAATCTTCATTAAGTTTAATTTATGCAAAATATTCAGAAACATTTGTTTATTAACTAAAATGTAATATTTATTTTAGAAAAGTTTATTATGATAATTAAAACTATTTATTTCTTTAATATTTTCTACCATATTTTTAACTGAAGTAAAACTGATTCTTCTGTTCTTTTCATAAATGTACAGTAAATAAATACATAGGTAACGAAATTAGAAACTCATTTGGATACAAACTGGGATCGACTTTCAACATCTGTACTTGTGTCCATTGTATTATAATTTGGGGCTGGTCCATCTGTTGATATATTCTGAAGAATGATATCTGCCTCTTTCTTTGCTTCTTTTGTGAAAATATCAGCCACAAAAAATGCCTAGATTACACAAATGCAGTATTAGAAACCTAGAATAAGAGCTTTTCACAAGACAACTAGAGAGTACCAATGAAATCCAGAAATTGATATGAAAAATTGTGGTTTCATATGAAAAGAATTAAAAATTAATAAAAACTCCACAAAAATTAAAGAAAATGATTGTTTAGCACATACACAATTTAAAATATTAAGAAAAATTAATTTATTTTCCCTTTTAAATATCATTACTGAGGGAACTGTAACTGTAACTAAAGATTATGTAAGAGCGCCATCTAGATTAGGGTGTGATCAGATGAGATGAGGCGTGAACGATAGTGAGGACAGACGTGTCCGAAATGTTTTGATGATCATTCTTTTTACTTTTCTTTTCATTCTAATGTAAATAAATAAATCCTAGTTTAACTTCATGAGTTGTAGTTATGCCTATCATCAATCCTTCCCCATATTATAATTACAAAAGAATACAGCACTTTTTACAATAAAAATACCCAAATAATTTTGCCTTGTTATAGTAACAGATATTTTTTCCATTAATTAGTAATGTTTGAAAAATTCAGAATTATCACCTGGACATATTACAAATGACACTTAACATTATATTTCTAAATTACATGTTTTAAACTATATTAATTAAATTTATAAGTAAAATCATTTTAATTATGCAGAAATGCATTTAGCACTTTAGATCTAGAGGTTCCAGACCTACGTTCAACTACATGGTCATTTTTGGAAACTGGTTATTTGATAGTTTGTTAGCCGAAGTAGAAGACAAATCTCGTTTTAGAAGCAACAGATAACAGGCTTATTTGGCAATGGCTTATTTTGGAGGTTATCACAATTCACAAATGTTACATGCATGATAACAAGCATAACATTTCAAAAACTTAAGGAAGAATTCCTTAAAGATATTTTTAACTAAAAAAGAGAGAGGGAGCAAGACAGAAGATCTCTGCCAAGGGCATGTGATACATGTTCATATAAATATACTCGAAATGTTCATAATTATTAGTTGAATGCACAGTAAATTAAATGCATTTACAACTACATCAACCAGATTATAGTATATTTTAATAAGCCAAGATTTTAATAATTAAGCAGCATGTTTATTGCTTTTGAATTATTTATTAAACAGTTACGATTTGAAAGATAAGATCTCATTTTTTCATGCAATGGGAGTATTTAAAAATTTAGACTCTTTTATTGCAGGGCTCATATATAGATGTTACTAATGCCAAAAGTAATGCGCAGGCTGACTGACTGTGTTCGTATAATTTTACTTCATATGATAATATGTTTTAAATACTATTTGTCATTTACAGTGGTTCAAAATACTTAAATACTCCTTCAAAATTTTATTCTTTCTGCATGTGTAGCAATTTATATAATTAGGTGAAAATATAGAAAAGGCCATGATGAAGATCGATGCATAATAATAAACACTATGCATATGAAATCAATTATGTTAAAATAGAAATCATAGAAATCTTTAATTTTAGATAATTCAAAATTATCTTATTCCTATGCAGTTAATTTCTCCTCCTGCCCTTAACAGATCATTTCACACAAACACATACAAAAAAAGGGAGCAGATTTTTGCTTGAAATGATACTGCACATAACATAATTACATTGCAATTAAACAAGATTTCCTAATAGTTGTCAAAATATAAATTTTAAAAGAGCTGGAAAGAAGTGGTAATTTCATTCACATGACTCAGAATTTTGATTCTGTTGGACAAATTCTAATCCAATCTTGATGTTTAATCAAACCAATAACAGTTTAATTATTTTTTTAAGAATATCAGTTTGTGGAAAATGAGCGTGACCAGATAACACATTTTCATTTTTAAATAATGTAAAATCAAAATATTTTTTCACTGATACTATTCAGTGCACATGTGTATGTTATGAATATACACTCAGAACTGGATTAATCATAAGACAAGCACATGATTAGGGAATCAAATATAAAAGGCACCACAAAAAAGTACGAGGCGTATTCGGAAACTAAGTACCGTTTTGGAAAAAAAAATAGTAAAACAATTTTTTCGAATCCAATTTTATTTTTACATGAAAATACATGTCTTAAACATTTTTCAACATAGTTTCCGCGAATGATCAAACACTTGTCATAGCGGGTGACCAGTTTTTGTATACCATCGTCAAAGAAACTTCCCACCAGTTTCGATAACCACAACTCCACAGCATTTTTTGTGTCATTGTCAGATCCAAAGTGCTTGCCACCAAGCTCGCGCTTCATGTGCAGGAACAAGTGATAGTCGGACGGCACCAAGTCCAGGCTGTACGGCGGGTGATCGAACTGCTCCCAATGAAACTGTCGAATTAACAATTGAGTGACAGCAGCAGTATGGGGCCGAGTATTGTCATGGAGCAACACAATTCCTTTACTGAGCATTCCTCTTCGTTTGTTTTGAATGGCATGCCTTAGTTTTGTTAAAGTCTCACAATATCGTGCTGCATTAATGGCTTCACCTCTGGGAAGAAATTCAGTAAGCAAAACACCTTTCCTATCCCAGAAGACAGTGCACATGATTTCTTGTGATGACACTGTCACTTTGAACTTGTTTTTTCGGAGAACGAGTGTGTCTTCACTCCATCGATTGTTGTTTTGATTCTGGTGTGAAATGACACACCCAAGTTTCATCACCTGTCACAAGTTTTCTCCCTCATCACTGTACTGCATGAGAAAGGTCAGGGCACTACCACGTCGCTTTGTTTTGTGAACATCAGTGAGCATTTTTGGAACCCATCGGGAACACAGTTTGTGATAATTCAAGCGGTCAGACACAATTTCGAACAAAACAGTATGTGAAATTTGTGGAAAATGCCCTGAAAGAGTTGTCATTGTGAAACGTCTGTCTCATGAATTGCTTCATCAACTTTCCTTACCAAATCATCCGTGACAACAGAAGGCCGACCACTCCGAGCCTCGGCGTGGACATTGTTCGACCTGCTTAAACATTCTTACCCATTCTTTCTCACCATTCCATCACTTATCGCGTATTCACCGTAAACTTCTGTCACTTGACGATAAATTTCGGCCGGTTTAACATTCCTCGCGTTCAAAAATTTAATCACAGCACGAATCTCACAGTCAGCGGGAGAACTAATTGTTTTAAACATTTTGAATGTGAACAGCAAACTGAAAACACAAGACAGAGCAACCAAAATGGCGACAATTGAAAGTCAGTGAACAAGAAAGACTAGTGCGCATGCATGGGATGCCTACCACAGTGCTGTGACGGCGCTAGAATGAAACGGTACTTAGTTTCCGAATACGCTACGTACTTATGGACTCAGAGAGCACTACAAAAATTCCCCTATTGAATGACTGATGCAACTAAACCAAAACTAAGAGAGAAAGAATAATGGAAAATTGGTATAAATGCATGTGGGGGCATGAAAATCTTTGATGCTTAGGGCCCTAAGGATTATACATATGATGAGTGGTATGTGATAATGGTAGTTTGGCTGCACTGCCTTGATTATGAACACTTGGAACATAGAATTTTAACATATTTATTATTAATCTATGAGAAGCTTATTAGTATCTAACAACATTATGAATAATATCAGCATGACAAGTTTACAGTCAGGTATTACATGCATAAAAGTTGCTATGAGTTAGTTTCAGAAGGTAAGGTTAGTTAACCGTCTTCATTATCTGAAGACAAAAGTTATTGTTAGTTGCAAGTTTTTGAAAGTTCTTTCTATTTGAAAGCATACAAGCATTCTCTACACTGTCTGATACATTGTGAAGACTGAATTAGTCCCAGAACTTTAGTTTTTGTTGTATCATTATGGCAAAGACAATACCAGAGAATATACGGAACTATTGATCAATGATGTGCCTAAAATTATGCTGTTTCAGTTAAAGGCACATTCTAACCATTGTACCCATCTAATGTCAGTCATAAAGTTATGATATTATTGGGAAAGTTATTCCTTCTGTACAGTTACAGCATGTCAATTCCCTTCTTAACCATTTGACTGTTTGGAATTAGCCATTACATAGCAGTTTTATTGGAAATGCATACAAACCTTTATGTGGAACCTTTATATCTTTATGTAGATCTCAACAGGTACATAAAATACATCACATTATTTTTTAAATGACTAGGAATAAAATTATAACTAAATGAAGCTAAACTTACTGTAATGAGTGCCATAATGGTGCCCTGAAGAAACCCTACCAATACATCACTCCAATGATGTTTAAAATCAGCAATTCTTGATAAAGCAGTGTACCAAGTCATCATCATAAGAATAAATTGTAAGAAAGGTCTAAGAAGTTTGTTTACCTTGCATCTCATGCATGCTTGAAGATAAATCTGAAATATATTACAATGATTACTTCAGTTTACCACATCAAAATTAGGAAAATAAATTAAAATATGATTTAAAGTTTAATAACTTCGCAATTTAAAAAATGCACCCAAATGAACATTTGAGAATTCTATAACACTATGATTATTATTATGTTGCATTTTATAGAATAGTAAAGATATATTTCCAAAACTTTTAGAGGGGAGTGGAACCCCTTTCCTGATTCAAGAATTAAAAACTTTTGCATATGGTTGGAAATTTCAGCACTGGGTTATTAGTTACTTATCCACTGATTCACTACCTATAATACCACTCTTTACTTATTTTAAAGCACTGAAGAAATCATAGAATTGCTGTAATTATTTTTATTCCTCTCTATTTTTCCCCCTCTTAACTTAGGCATTTGTTTACTCCTAAGAAAGAGGAAAGGGCAGGGATGATTCCCCCCACCATCAATAATAATAAGAGCAAGCACATATCTAAATTTTTAAAATTTTTTGTAACTTTTTTTTTTTTTTCGTTTTTCTCGCAGAAGTTTTTGGGACAACATTTTTTCAACTCTTATCAATTCCTACTGCATTTTGCATCATGCATTTAATAGGTTTGCTGAAAAAGTAAGCAAAAGCAATCCATTATTTACATTATTTGTAGTCTTTTATCAAAAAAATCATACTCAAAATTTTTTAACTTAAACTGAAACTTTTAGACTCTCTCCCTTCCTCTGAATTGCTGTGTCACTTTTCGCTTAAGCTTTCCTCCAGGCCACATGCTTTGCAGCTACCTTCTTTGTTCCTTGAATATGTGCTGAGGTAACAAAAATGCAGGGCGCATGAGACGCCCGCTCCTATGTGAACTAAATCTTGCAAATCCAGAATTGCTTTCCTTAATAAAGATAGATGATTCATGATAAATTCATGATTTCCACAATAAGATGATTCATGATAAACATAAGAAAGACATTTCAAAATGAGAAAAGCTAGTGATAAACGAATTTCGCTGAAAAGCTTTGATTTACAGCGAGTGAGGTTCGAACACCCTTTCCTGTTGGAATCCAGTGCGCTGGCCACTAAGCTGTCTGTAGGAGTAGCTCTCAGAAAAAAAAATGATACATATTTATGTATCCATTATTCATTGCAAAGATAATTTAACTAACATTAGTCATTGCAAAGATAATTTAACTAACATTCAATAAATTAATGCCATATGGCCCAAAGTGTAACCATCCTTGAAAATTCTGAAGTTGTATTTTATTGAATACTCTTTCACAGTCAACTGCTTTATTTTAGAAGTTGTTATTTTGTTGAAGCTAGTTTTTGATGTATTTTATATTGAGATACTTACTTACAGAGCTTCTTGTTACACATGAAATAGCAAACATTTGAAATAATTAAGGAGAATTTTGTAAGGCAGAGAACTTGATTTTGTAGAAATTGTAATTTATTTAGGTTAATGTTACTTTGTACAGGTGAAGCATATGGATATACTGGTTGGATCACTGCTTTATACAATTTTTTCCCTTTATGAGAATTTGAAATTTCTACCAATGTATATGGTCTGAGAAATCTGAGGATGCCATAAACAATATTGATAATTTTATTCCTGTGGACAGTTACAATCTCTTTAAAAAAAATCATCACTATGTGGTTCTGATGCCATATTGAAAAGGATAAGCAAGAAGTTTTTTCTGATTATGACACATAATAAGAACTTGGTCAGCTATTGGCTGTTCGTTCACGTCACAGACGAAAAAGCTGAACACGAGCTAACTCAGATTTACATCCACTGTATAATGCAAAATTATGCCAGCAGAAAAAAAATAGTGGCAACTATGTCGCTAGCGTACTCGATGTGGACAGCTCTTTAGATCTTTGGGGGAGGAGCAAATCCTTAGGGAAAACTTATCAACATTTGATATATTATTTAATCCAGAAACTGGCTAAAATTTCAAATTAACAGGCGTTTTAACTTCAAAGACACAGTATGCTCACTAAAATTAACAGCAAAGGAAACTCAAAGTATAAATGGAGTAATGAAAGTAAATTCTTCGCCTATCTGTATCACAAAAGTGGAAAAAGATAGTGAAATAAAGTTTGAAAATGTAATGTGTTTATTTTTTGGAGCGAAAAAACATAACTACCATGTGCAAGATTGCATGCCAAAAAACTTCATCTTTTCTGACAGAACAGACTCATGCATCTTGCTTTTACAAAACAGTACATTAATGAGTCTTAGAGTTTTGGCTATGGGTAATAATTTGCAATAAAAGATAGATTTTGCACACTTGGCATTAAAGATGTAAATTTATTTAATTTGTATTAATCTTAAGAAAACCTGCAATAAAGCTTAAGAAGAAAGTTTTATGCATTATCTTCCAACAATGAAGGAGGAGTCATAATGTTATGAGGTACATGGGGGACCAGCAGCTTGAAGCAATTGTAATTCTTTTAAAATCAGTGATGAATAAAATGAGTTATTTAAATAAAAATTAGAGTATATTGGAAAGCTTAAAAGTAAACAACAATTATTACGTTTCATATTACAATAACTTTAACCACACTATTGAACTTACAAACCTCCAACTGCAATGCAATTTTCCAAAACAGCTGCAGGCATGCCACAGTCAACCGACCTGAATCCATTAAAACATGGGAGCAATAATTTCATTGCCATCGATAAACTCTTTGTATGATAAAGATAAAATTTTAGGAGAAAGGGGTCACCAGTTTGTTGCTCCCAGGCAGAGACAAAGATAAATTTTGGAGTTAGGTCATTTTTGCTTATGGGGAGCTCAACTTTAAACCAAGAAGACTGCCAAGCGATTGATATTCCTTCTACATTCCTCAAGAAAGATGTGAACAAATAATGCAACACTTGTACTTCCTGTCAACTTCCAGCTAAAAAGCATCCTTTTGATAAAGTTCCTATTATGCTAGTTGCACGTCTTAACAAATCATTCTAGATAATCTATGTAGACATCATCGGACCTCTAGAACCAAGCTGTCAAGGTTACAAATATATTCTATGCACTATTCACCAATGTACAAGATGGCCAAAAGCAGTAACATTAAAGAATCTTAATGCAAAATTAATATGTAATGTGTTGTTGCAGAACTTTGCATGCATTAATATCCCTCAGATTGTTGAGTAATTCCAAGGAAATAACTTTACTGCATCAACACATTAGTTTTTTAAAAGGATCAGATCTCTACCAAGATTCTCGACTCTTTACCATCCAATTTTAAATGACCTAGTAGAAATATTTAATGCTGTTTTGAAGAGAATGAAACATCATACCATCAGAGAATTTTTGCAAGAATGGGATACACATTTATCATAACCAAGAAAACCCTAAGCCTACCAAGAAATTCCTAATGCTATGACTGGTGTTAGTCCATTCCAGACGCTTCATGGAAATACCTTAATGGCCCATTTGCCGAAAAGGATTTTATTGTCCAGAATGGGAAATGAAATAATTTCTACACTTTTAATTCTTTCAACTGATTTGCAAACATAAGCTATGCTTTGTATTCAGTTTGGAGTTTTGATAAAAAAGATCATTTAAAAGTTCTTCCAAGTTTGCAGTTAGTTCCTTTACCAAGATGAGATGAAAAGCACCAAGGAGTTTAGTTAAATAAATGAATTTTCATCATAAAAAAATTAAACGGTTTGTGCAAACTTACCACAGTAAACACCATTGTATAGGCAGAGAAAGAAGAATGACCAGATGGAAAGGAAAGTCTGAAAAACATAATTTATTTGAGATAACAAATAAATTCATCTCACATAATGCCAAAGATAAATATTTAAATTCTCATGAATTACCAGCTAAATGTAAATTTAATAACAGATAACATAAGTTGCTAAGTTAATAAATATTAAAAAAGTCTACTTAGCTTTAGTCCATGAATAAAAATATTTCTTTACTACAGTATAAAATATCTTAATATTACTTAGAAAATAATGAAAATTATATACACTGAAATTAGTATAACAAAGATAATTTTCCTTAAACTTTAACAAGAATGCAAAAAACAAAAACAGATTCTTTAAAAAGTTTCTATATTTCCTTTACAAGCAGCACTACAAACTACTTAAAAGCTGCACCTTATGAATCTAGTAATTAAATTCTTAATTTTAGCAGCTAACTACAGACGCCACTTTAAAAATGAAGCATCACACATTAGTTTATACACTTATTTTTAGCATATTTATCAGCAGACTGTAATTTGTTAATATTCGCATACATACAGAATACTTATTTATGTATTTTTTCGCATAATTTTTCTACAGAGCTAGATTAAGAAGGGTCCTGTGCATTTAAAGAATTTGGTACCTCCCCATAATACATTGACAGTATAATACCTGATTTTTTTCCAATTTCTTCTTTCTCAATCTTGGTTTAGCTGCACGATACATTTATGATAAAGCCAGCAATGAGAATTTTTTGTGGCATCCCCTAACCATTGCCTGAAGTGTACATTTTGATTAATCCAGCTTTACTTTTCTAGCATATGATTTAGAAACTTTTGATTCTTATTAGCATATTACAATATGGAAGTATACAAAGTAAAGTATTAAAGATATCTATAACTAACTTTTCTAAAATATATAGAGCACTTTTCTGTTGATGAAGTGCCAGTCGCCAAATGTGACACCTTATTTATATCCATCATATATCATGAACAGCTGTGCAATGATAATACATGTAATGGCTAATGTACACGATGCTGAAGCCATACTAAATTTGTGTGTAATGTCGACTTTGTGAATTTTTTTTTTTTTTTTTTTACTTTATTTTTTTTTAAAGCAAAAACACATCATTTACATTAGGGTGAACAGCAATTTTGTTTGCCCCATATACACAGATCTGCTTTTGCTTAAAAAAAAAAATCAGAGAATTGCACTAATTTGGCATTGTGCACATTAAATATTACTATACATATTATATTTTAAACATTATACATACATTAAACATTATACATATTATATTTTCATTACAAATAACACAGTAAATTCTTTTTATAAAGTTTTATGTACCATAAGGATTGCCACAATATAGCTTTAAGTGGCACCCCATTAACAGAAACGTACCATACAGCACACTAACACTGATATACATACATTGATATACCATTCCCCCCTATATTTTGATTCTATGCTTCAACTTATGTGAAACTGCCACGTTTTGTTAAAAATCTTTTTTTAAATAAGCATTCAAAATTTTAATTCTGCAATTTTAATTAATTTGGTATATATTTAACAATACCTCGTTTTTTAATTACACTTGATTTCTTTTTTCATAATTTGAAATTTAGGTTCAGTCCAAATAAAGCTCTTACACATTTTCTGATTTATTTAAAAAATTGTATTATTTTTTTTTAACTATTTGAATTATAAATTTTTACATCATCTTAAAGGATACATTTTCTCACATACACAAAAAAAATTCAGAAAATCCTCTATTTATATACAGATTTATAAATTTGTTTAATTTGCTTATCTTTGCTAGATAATTTCACACTTTTACCTCTTCATTACTGCTACAGTTATTTTCCTTAAATCCAAACAAATTTTTTTAAAAATGATTCAACGGAATTTATTTTCATTTTTTTTATGATAATAAATATTTTTAATATGAAATTTACTTTCTTTTTACTTTATTCACTTAACCAGCATGTATGCGCAAACTTTACGACAGTTTTTAACGTTTTTCCCATATCAAAGCATACTCTAAGGTCTTTTTATCCTCTATCTACCCTTTCCCCACCCATGGATGTGCCAACAGGAAGTCTTTGACTTTTTTTTTTTAACTGGGCTTTGTGCTACGTGGAGCTTTTTCATAAAAGTTATGACATGCGCGTGGTCGAGTTTTAAAATTCAGAAAAATTTTTTTTTCTCAAATATTTTGTGTTATTAATAAATATTTGTGTGAATACATTAGGCTCTGTAAATTTAATATTGGTTTTTATGGCAAAAAAAAAAAAAAAAAAAAAAAAAAACGTGCAACCAGCTGATTTTGCAAGCATTCTTCAAGAATTATCTGATGAAGAAAGGGAAGACAAGGAAACCTTTGTATAGGAGAACATTAGCGATTTCCATTCCTTATTTTCTCTTATTTCTATTTTTTAGAAATAAATAAGAACATTAAAGTTAGTTTAAAGTGCGTTTTTGTAACAAGTAAATTTCCTTGCAGAAGTAAGTAATGCTAAACTTACTTTTTTTCCTACCAAGATGTTTTCCTTTTTTATTGCCTATACTTGTCTTTGATGAATATTAAAATTCGCTTCGATTTAAAATTAATTTTTAATAATAAATTTAAAATTTTCTATAATGAAATACATCTTGCATTTCCACCACCTACCATAGAATTTTAAAAATAATTCACTTATATTTGAATGTGATATCATTTGTATTTTGCAATAATATGATTAATATTTTATTTCTTAACAAATTTATAATCAATATTTACTCATTTCTGTTGTTTTTTGTGCCAAAAACGGTAAAATAATGGATGTCGTAAAAAATATGACGCTCGCGTGCTCATGTAAAATTGCCAAGCGCGTGTGCTGGAAGGTTAAATTGAGCTTTCTAGAGCTGAGAAAGTTAATTTGACAAAAAAAAAAATTAAAAAGTTATTGATTAATTAAAATGAGTCAGTATTTTAAAATATAAAACTTGATGTACCAAAGGTATACAAGATAAAATTTTAGTACTTTATGACCTGAAATTAAAATGATTAATGATAGGTGAATTAAACTTGTTATGTTATGTAATTAAGAGCTTTACTGTATAATTAAAATAGGTATATGCTTGTTATAGCAGCCTCTGAGATTGAGTCAGCAATAACCTGCCAAAATTCGGCAATCTGTTCTTATACCTCGCCATGTGATCGTACATTAGCACCAAATGCATGTTCTTATATCTCACTAAGTAATCATATATTAGCACCATGTTGCATTTTTGCTCTATCCACGTGTTCTTGGAGTTGACATTCATGAAATGGTGTAACAAACAACTTGTTATGCGAGAAAGTGCTGCAGCTGACTAGAGCAATTATATGAGCTAAAATAATAACAATAACGATAAAGATTCTTTTTTTTTAATATTCTTAGGAAACAACATGCGAGTATTATTGTTGTTATTATATATTATGTTGTTTATTTTTACATTCGCTCTTCACGAGCTTGGCGAAATTATAACAGAGATCTTGGCGCAAATCTAAAATTTCCAAATATGGTTAAGGGCCGCTATAACAAAGAAGTACCCTAAGATAAACTTTATAAAAAATATTAAATTACTATTTCTATCTGAAAATATTGCATACAAAACAGCTTGTAAGAACAGATATTCCAAAAAAATGTAACGCTTTTAATATTAGAGTTGGTTCTCAAATTCAACTCTCTAGAATGAATATCAAAATATGAATACAAACTGAAGCATTATATGAAGTGCAAGAAAACGTTAAAATACACTTGTGTGCAAAATTAATAGAATTTGCCCTTTAAGTCAATTTCCTGAAAAACTAATGAACAGATTTTTAATGAAATTTGGTACGAATATACATTTATAAGGGAAAGAGATGCATCATTCAAAAGTCATTTTATGTACGCAGGATTATCAGTAAGGCTCACAGTGAAAGGATGACCAAAATCCACATTGTGATGTTGAACTAAAATTTAGTCTAATATGGGATGTGATCCCCTCTCACAGCCAGACAGGTCGTGCAGCATAACAGCATACTGGACAGGAAACAGCTGAAGAGTCCTGTGACAATCAGTCCCACTCCTGCAGCAAGGCAGTTTTCTACTCTGGAATGGTTCTAAGAGTGGGGAGGATGACGAGAAAATTGCCCTCACAAGGGCAACCCACACATGCTTTATAAGTTTGAAATCAGCAGATCTGACAGGCCAATCCATACAGAGAATATCCTTACTCTCAGGTAACTGTCGACCAACTGAGCCCTATGTGGATGAGCATTGTCATCCATTAACAGAAACTCAGGACCAACTGCTCCCTCAAAAATTCAACCTTAGGGTTCTAAGATCTCCTCTCTGTACCTCATGTCAGTCAAGCAGCCTTTGTCAAATGCATGCAGGGGTGTGCAGCCATCCCACATAATGCCTGACCAAATCATTACACTTCCATCACTATAATGATCTTTTTTATTATGAGGAAGGGATGGGTATCCTGCTCCAGGCTTTCTCCAAATACAGTTATGCTGAGAATCAGTGCCCAGGCTAAATCTCCACTAATCTGTAAAAAGCACGGTGCTCACCGAAGCGTTGTCCAAAGTTCATGTTGGGCACTCTTCTGCGGTGCAGTGAACAGGACATAAACAGCAGGCCTTCTAGCATAAAGCCTTAGCTCATGAAGTCTCCGGGCAACTGTAGACCGTGAAACTCAGATTCCAGGGGCAGCATGCAGCTCACAAGAGAGCTGTGAAGCTGCAGCAGTTCTGTGTTGCCATGTTGAAAGTGCCATATTATGATCATAATTCACTGTTGCGAATCTGCATTGACCTTGCCCTGGTCTTCTCGGTATGGATCCAGTGTCCTGAAAATGTTTCCACAAACTGCACATAAAGTTGGGTGTTACATTGAGCTCTGTAGCCACCTGCACTTGTGACTGGCCTGCCTCCAATCTACCAACAAATCTCTATCACATTCTAACATCCATTCATTCATGGCTACTCAATTTACCAGATACCTTTAAAATTTATCTAACTCTTACGAGAAACA